AGTTGAGTGAAGCCAACGGCCCGATTCGATGAACCGCATTTTTTTTTAGGGCAATTCAAGATATGAATATAAAGGTGTTTATTTATCATCGACAATTGATACAAGGGCAGTTCGATAAATTTAATTTGGAGTTGGTGATTCTACGAAATGGTTTGGAGTGATAGCAAGAGTCATTGGCAAAAGCATTTATGCTGTAAGCGCTACATGGGCTGTATATTACGTAGTAAGGAAAACTTGAGGCTGAATCAATAACATCACCGAATTCGCACAAAAGATAAAGTTGTACATATAGAAGAAGCGCAAAACCGAGACCAGAAATCCAACCAACCTATCGAAATATTTTATAAACACACAATAGAATTCAAAGCACTGAAATACTCACAAATAGATAGAAGAAGAGCGACATTGAGGCGGAAAGGGTGGTCATAAATGGTTAACTATCATTCAATTGAAGTAGGAATTTCCAATAGTATAAGTTAGCTAAATTCAATGCGTAGCTATAGAAATGGCAATCGATGTACCCATTTGCATTTGATTCCGGTTCTGAGTTTTGAATGAATTCTGAGAGTTCGCCAATTGATTGGCAAACAACGACCGTACTCATTCCAATCGTTTCTTTCAACAAGCATGTAATAATTTCGATGCCTATATTTCCCGTTGATGCCCACCAAAACGATGAACAATTGATTCAGAATATTCAAAACTAGGCCATGCGTTGATTTAAGAATGGTGAAGGGCAAAAGTAAAAAGGTACCGGGAACTGTAAATCATTGTTTGTCAACAAGTAGTCGAAAATCGGAAAACTCAAATAGATCGCCATAAAAACGCAATCCACTGCGATTGACATTCAAGAGTAAGATTTCAATTCCATCATTATATTTTATAATAAATAATTTAATACTGTTTTTCTGCAATCCATCTTTTGGTGGCATTCTGTGCAAATGCTCGGCTAGCATGGGAAAAACAAAATGTACTGCAAGAATCCATACAATATTAAACCCTATAGTCAAAGCGCATTTAATGTAATCTCACATTAGATTCTGACTACTTCGCAAGGAAAGAACATTTAAATTGATACAACCAAATTGTTTGCTGTCAAACTTTGTCTCGCTCACACCAATTGTCTCACTGACTCGTCCGTGTACGAACTGCTGTTAGCGTAAAAGAGATGTTGTTCGCAGTAAACTCAGTTTAGATGTTCTTTCAAATAAAATGTCATGCAATTTATTACCTTCATCCTCCAATCGTTTGAAGAAAAACTTGTGCGGATTCACGAAATATGTTATTTTTATCATGCTGTTAATGTTCGATTGCAATGCTGTGTCAGTCTGTCTACAAAAAATGAAAAAAAAAATCAAATTTCACAATATAATTATAATTGTTGGACTTTTGAACATATTTTTTTTGAGTGGTGCACCACATTGATAAGAAACACCCAAATAACTATACCAAGTGGCTGGTGATTTGGAAAACTGTCAAAACAAGACGCAATCGCGTTTAATCTAAAACTGTTTTGAAGAACAAATGAAATCGAAACAAGCTAATAATTTTGGGGAAACAAAATCGGCACAGAGAAATGAACCAGAAATAGAAACAGTATTTTAATTTACTTTCCGAAAAATAATTTCACAATAAATATGATCTGTGTAGAAGGCCGTTCACTTTGACATCTGGTATTACAGTGAAGAATTTGGCTGCAATTGACATAAGGCAACTAACACAAACACACACATCTTTTTTATTTCGCATATATTCATCACTCTAACTAATAACCTAGGGGAATTTAACTCTTACGAGTTCAGCATGTTTTTTGCCAGTTTGCTTGATTCTCGGGAGTTCGACGCGTTCCTTGTACGTACTGACGCGCACGGTCACAAGTTTACACAAGTTTGTTTATGGTTTTGCGCGTTTTTCAAGTTGTTATTTGACAATTAAAACGCGTTTCAAGATAAAAATCGGTTGTTTACGTGTATAAAGATTTTTCACATCCTTTCCAAAAGTTCAAAGATTTATATAATTATAAAATGGACAAAGGAAATATTTTTAAAGAGCTGGAGAAAGTGTTGAAGAAAAAGTTAATCCAGATATAATAAATGGAACGACTGATGTGTGCGCGTCGTCCAGCTACAAGTTTGCACACGAACTCGCGCGCGTTCGCGCATGTTGTTTTAATACGGAACTTGTCAACTGAGTGGAATCATGCAAGTTCTCTGGTGAATGTAACAATTTCGTGCGCGTTTATATCATTTTTTTACAAGTTTTCACGTAGTTAAATCCCCCTAGCTAATAACTAACGCAACGTTGAATGTGCCTTTCAAATTTCAGTCTTCGCACGGCAATTTTCAATAATTGAGCTATTTATTTATTACTTTTTCGAAAACTTTGTTTTCCAAAATTTCATGACATCTCCTCTTTTGGACAACTATAACGTCGCGTCAAACTTCAAAAAGCACATATCTGTACACTAGGCCATGTAGATGGGATCAAATCCTATCGATCAAGACCTATTTGCCTCCGGTACGATTGTCGTTCTCACACTTAAAGTTCTCTATCATTTTTTTGTGTATTAATTGCTATTGTATTTAAAGAGGCGCTAGCCAACTGTGTGTGTTCTGTGTGCAGCACAAAATGCGATTAAAATATTCGTCGTTGTTTGAATTTTCCACTAAACACAACAATAGCGAAACCAAAATTGCTAATTAGAAAAAAACCCCTCGTTTCTTTTTTCAACTAATTACAAACGACGACAGATGAAGAAAAAAATTGAAACACACATGAATAATTTTTGATGGAGACCGTCGATAGCCGTTCGATGGAGAGAAGACAGAACGAACGAATGAAAAAAAAAATGTCTATTTGACTAAGAATTAATGAACGATGTTGATGTGAATGTGTGTATAAAGAAAAATCATGCCAAAAAAATGTGTGCGTGATATACGAACGAACGACCAAATAACACACAATGCTTTGAGACGTTTTTCCTCTCTGTTTTTTGTTCTTGTGGCTCTTCACCTCACTCTCTCATACACACACTCTCTCTCTCTCTCTCTCTCTCTCTCTCTCTCTTTCGTCTAGGAGTAGCCGCACACAATTTCAGTTTCATACACACGCACCGCACATAGAGACACCATTGCTTAGATTTTTTCTGCTTTTGAATTTCAAACACTACACTACATGAAGCGATCTCTTTTTTACTCGGTTAAAATCGAATCAAGTGCGCTCTATGTGGTCGAAAGAGAAACAGCAGCGCGCGCGACACATTGTTGACGGTTCGTTAAATGCATGGACGACACATCCCATGTGGGGCCGCCACGTCTTTCTAAATGAACTGTTTGTACAGAAACGATGATAAGAAGTTATTGGGTAGATCGGCAACGGGAAAAAAAATACAATAAACAGAAAAAAGCGAAGATTTCGTTTAAAAAAAAAACGCATAATGGAAGATATGTTAACTGAACGCTTGAACACTGAACTGAGTAACAAAGAGGATCCAAGTCAATTTATGGACCGTGCCAAGAGATTCAATAAATTAATCGGAGACGCTATTCACAATATTGTTACAAAACAGAAAGAAAAGATATGGTTTTTATTTCACTTTCTACAACTCTCATAAATCATCTTTTTATTTAGTTCTCAATAAATATGCCGTCTGCTCAACAAACACACAACAAATCAAAGTCCCCGGCTGCTTCCCAAAATCAGGAATCGTTTGCATATAATCTCATGAAAAAGTAGCCGTCGGAGTGCACGTTCTGTTCACGTTACGTTAAGGCATACACATACAACTGCGTTAACGTAAAAGGAGTACAGCGATATATTGTATCACAGCACACGATATATTGCTGTACTCCTTTTACGTTAGCGAAGTTGTATGTGTACGACTTAACGTAACGCGCACTCCGAGACTACGATCGACTCACATCGATGTATTGGTGAGTTACAACGAGTGTTGTGTATCACAGCACACAATATATCGCTGTTCTCCTTTCACGTTAACGCAGTTGTATGTGTACGCCTTATCGTAACGTGAACAGAACGTGCACTCCGACAGCTACTTTTCTATGAGATCATGTAATTTTATATAGAATTTCTTATTGTAAATTGAGACGCGTCAAACGATATTTTTTCCATTCATTTTTGAATTTAGCACCCGCTAAATTCGCTATCTACGCAACAAAACCATAGCTATGATCATCAAACGTTTGCATACAATCAGGTAATTTATTTTTCTTCATTAGAACTAAGCATTTTTTTCATTAATTTTCCATTTAGTGTCCGACATATCCACTTTTACAAAATACCGGATTCAATCAGCAATTTTTAGGACACCAGGTAACAACTGAAAATTCATTTATTTTTTTCGTTCACTTTATTTTTGGCTTTCATGACTAAATTTCTTCTTTTTTTTCGTTGAAAAGTCACCATTTGATGCAATTCCTGAAATCCACCATACAAATGCTGCGGTTGTAAATACGCAACAAAATCCACAATCTGCGACCAGTCATGAAAATCCTTATCAATCTTATTATCACCCACAATAACATCAGATATATAACATGAAAAATGTCATTTCGTAAAATGTTTGGCCCATTTCATGTTAAAAGATAAAATAAAATAAGATGGACAATATCATTAAGAAATAGTTGTTACATTTAGAAAGTGAAATGAAATATATATAAAGTAAATCGTTTGACTGTTAAAACAGCTAAAATATTACTATTTTATTTTTTGCTCGCATACCCAAGCAAAAATCCACACTGAATTGACGTTGCGTTAACGCATATCTGACACTGTTCCCACACGGTTTTGAACCTCAAACCGTGTGGCTATAGTATAATGAAGCGTGAAGCCGTTTGACAGCATTTTTGATTTCGAATAACCGTGTGGATGCAGTGTTTATTCGCCATGATGAAGCAGAGACATAAGTATTGTGTGTATGCGTGAAAAGAGTTTTTTTTTTTCAGTGTTCAGCGCCGTGTACATATATTCAATGAGCGGCGCCGTGTGCATGTGTTGTTTGTCAATGATTTGTGACTGTGACGTTGTGAAGCAACGTTTGACGTATGATACAAAAACGTTTCTCTTGCAGCGACCCACACATTTATTTCAGTTTCCTTTGTTAATAACAGTTTCTTTTGTTATTTTACCTATAATAATTAAGAAATACGGCAGAAAAAAAAATGGAAAGTGAACTACAATTGGATGATGTCGAGTTGGCGACATTTTTTAGAAAGAAATAGTAGCAGTGAGAGTGAGTGTGAGACTGACCTAATTGATACCGTGCCACACAAAAAACTGGAGAACAATATATTAGTCGAAAGATTTTCAAATGTTCTTCACTTGCAAATAAATAATAAACTTTCAAATCGAACGACATCAAAGGTATTCAAATTATTAAATACTTCATTCCCCGAAGCAGCAGTTGAATTTCCTGAGTCGAGGAAAACAATTAATAAATTTTTAAACACTGATTTAAACTACGCTATATATTTGAATTGTGATAATTGTGATGAAATGGTAGAAGATAAAAAAAAAGTGCCCTCAGTTCAATTCCATTGAAACAACAAATACTACAAATTTTGCATAGACATTTTCATACCATAATTTCATATTTGGATCGTCAACACAAAAACGGAATCATTGCCGACGTCGACGATGGAATTTTGCTCAAAAACATTATTCGAAAAAATCCACATGTGCGAGTGTTATCGTTTACTATGAACACAGATGGTGGAAGAATATTAAATTCTTCGAAGTATTCACTATGGCCCGTGCAACTTTATTTAAATTTCCTTCCGCCACCCATCAGATATAAATCGGAAAATATCATTATCAGCACACTTTATTATGGAGAGAAAAAAAACCAGATATGACGAATCTGATGTTTTTTTGGCAGTAGAATTTGATAAATTCGTGAAAGAGCCTATCACTGTTTATAAGTAATGGTCCCATATGAAAATTTCAAAAATAGATGATTTGCGGAAAAAATTGAGAAAAAAAAGATGATACATGAATCAAAAAAGATGACAGTAATCTTTTTCATTTTTTTCTTCAAAAACTATTATATTTTTGATTTCGAAAGGGTACATATTGTTTCTTGTGTATTTTTATAAATAGACTATATATTATATTGTATATTAAATTGTAGGACGGTATCATTGCATAAATATTGAAAGAGCAAAATTCCAAACGTGATATATTTAAGAAAAATGTGGTGCTATGTATGTGAATCTGGATAAAATTGCATGGTCCCGTGTTTCTTCAGGCTGCGGCGTGTGCTTTGTTTGAATGGCTTTCTTTGGCAGACTCGTATTTTCCGTGGGAACTTATCTATCAATGAAGAAAAAAATAATGCATTGAAAAATAAATCTATCATTCTATCAAAAATGATTTGAAATGTCTTCATACCTTTTGAAGATAGTCCGGTTGGCTTGCAATGAATTCATGGAATTGGATGCAGTCGAATGATAAATTGTTCTTGATGATCAAATAAGACTTCAATGTTCCGAACGATAAGCGGCTTTTCTTGTCGTTCCAATAATGCTTCATATGTGAAAAAATCCGCTCACAATCACAATTTGCGCCTGAAAAATATTAAACAAGACATAAATAATATCGGTTCAAAACATCCATCAACAAAAATTTTAAATAAAACTATTACCCGGCATCATTAGCGCGTATTCAACGAGTTTTGAGAAGACTTTATACGACGCTGATTTTTTTTTCAAATTAGAGAAAACTTCCAACCATCGATCCTCTATCGATGCATGTTTTTCATTCCAAATTTCAAAAATCGTCTTTCGATCTACCACAGGAACACTTTTCAAGTACGTTTTGACATTCACAAATTCATTGAACACAGTATTATACTCCTCTTGTTTTATTAATTTTTTGGCAAGAAGCATGTCTGCAGTGTTCTTCACAGGCGATTCAAGAGTGGACCAAAGGGGCATTTCCCTTAATTCAATCCAACTGTATGTGTCGACCAACGGTTTCAAGTGCACTCCCCACGTTTCCAGATAAGTCACCGAGATGTCTGAAAATTTAAATCAAAATGTTATATTCTTATATAAATGCACTTGTGCATTTTTAAATAATTACTTTGGAATTTTCGGACAATTTCGTCAATATATTCTACATCAACAAAAACTTCCTCGTGAATGCTTCGTTTATTGGCCTTCTTCAAAATGGTGTCAGTGAATGGCAGCGAATCAATAATGGTCGTCAGTTCTTGTTGAAATTGCAATGACGTAAAGTTTTCGTCCATTCGTTCACGAATTGATGTACAAAACGAGAAAATTGTTCGGGCTGCTTCGTATCCTGATACGTGTGAGCCTTCGAGTGACCGGATCACAGCTTCAAAGTATTCGCATTGATCTCGTACAAATACTAATAGGAGTTTTGATAGGTGGTGGTCAAAAAATCGGCCCAGTGCAACGGGTGTTTCTTTCTCGGTATCAAAAAAGGTTTTAAGAGCATCAAAGTTTTTGATGATTCGATCAATACAACCATGGAATCCAATAAACCGAGTGTTAGCGTAACCAAGCAACTTCATGTATTCGTCGGTATTGATTAAATGTTGTAAACGCGCGTTCCGTGTGCAACTAGTCTTGAAATAGTTGTAAATATTCACAACAGTTGCCTCAATATCAAAAAAGGGTTGAAATTGGTCACACGCTTTCTCAATAGCTTTGTGCACCAAGTGGGCCGCACAACCTATACCAACTAATTCATTATTGAATTCCTTTTGGAGGCGACTGAACATGTTCTTATCACCTCCTCGAGTCAAACCTCCGAAATTTTCCTTTGCATTGTCGCCTGAAATCGCCTTTAATTTCGCACGAAGATCGTATTTTTCCCATACAAATTTCAGTTTTGTGAACAATGTCTCACCGGTTTCATCGTCTAATTGGAATGCATCAATCAGTTTGGTATGCGTTCCCGTTTCATGTGAAAAGTATCGAACCAAAACTGGCAAAACTTTGAAATTTCCTTTGCTACTTGAATCCAAGCAAAACGTAAGAAAATTTACATCACGAATTTCTTTCAACAACATATCTATTGCCATTGGTGCCAAAACGCCTGGAAATTCAGAAGGATTAAAAAACTGAATCCATTTTGAATAAAATTGTCTGAATATAGAGCGTACCAGTTGCAATTGCTTCAGCTTTGGTTTCACTACATCTGAAATCAGGGTTTTTACCAAATACTTCACGAATGAGTTGAGATGTGCACGTAGCTGATCGAAAAGAATGGCCTTCTTTGATGAGATGATAAACAAATGTAGCTTCAGCTGCTGCGGTTTTTTTATCCGATGTCGCTATAATGAATAAATTCCGAGATATAATAAGTGCATGATTAAGTAAAAAAATAACATATAACAAACAAATTTACTCTGGAATAAGCGATTGATTGCCACTGTTTTTGACGCGGCATTTTCATACATTTGATGTACATTCGTTCCCATGTGTTGCTTTACATCAGCGATTCCTTTGTTCACGATCGAAAAATCTCTTTTGCATAATTTGCAATATGCATTTTCTCGACCCAATTTGGATTCCGCCAACCAAGACTTGTATTGTGGTATCCACTCTTTATTAAAATAGCACTTGCCCATCTAAAATAGTTTTAAATATCTTGATGCAATATGCATAATACAATTCTGGTTGCAAATTTACTTACTTTGAAGCCAAAATGTACACTTCACTATTCACTGATTCTGAATTATATTATTTCTATTTGAAATCTTTGATATTTTTTGCAAAAAATTACGTGGTGATTGAATTATTTTAAATAATATTCACTAAATTGGAACAAAGAACAAAGAAATTGCTAGTCAGCAATCGAGTCAACATGTAAAATCGTGATAATGTTTACATTTTGAATGTTGAATTTCACCATTCGTTGTAACTCAACGAAACGTCAAATGTAATTTGACATCACGCACATGACAGCTGTATGTATTCAGTATTTGGTCATTGTACGAAATTCAAATCGTATTATGAACTTCAGCATTTGTCTTTAGATCACCGAACAATTATTAAATTTGAAAGTTTTTTGTAGTTTTAATTATTTATTTCAAAATTTTCGAAAAAGATGACAAAAGATGACTTCCTGTGAAAAAAAGATCATCTACGATCATCTAAATATATGAAAAAATGCCTCTCAAAAAGATGATAGTCATCTACGATAGATGCCATATGGGACCATTATTTATAAGGAAAGTATTTTTTTTTTTAATTTCCTCCCCGTTAGTATGTCGTTAGCTGTCTTCGATTTGCAAGCCCGAAAAGATATCCAGGCAATGAAAGGGCCGATGGGAAATTATGGTTGCCCAGTGTGTTATCACCCAGGAGTCCCTGTAAAAAACTTATCGAAGAAAACTTCAATCCGTTATTTAACATCTGAATTCAACTGTCGATCACACATTGAAACCGTAAACTTTTCACAAAAAATTTCAAACGGTGAATGTCAAGGTAGTGACGAAAGAGATTCAATTTATGGTGTGAAGGGATATAGCGCATTGCTTCTCTTTGATGACATAGATGTTATAAACTCAGTACCAACAGATTTTATGCATGGAATTCTTCTTGGAATAACTAAACACCTGATTGAGA